ATAACAGTTTACTTCAATTAAGAAACTCTCACAGCAGCAGATTTACTGAGCTCAGAGACTGAGTGAGTTCTGATTTAAGATAGAGTATATTAAGAAAATCAAGAACTCAGCAGACAGACTCTCTCACAGATCAGACTATGTTAAGAAGATCAGAATGATAGATACAGAGAGACTAGAGAAGACAGAAAAGCTTTATAAAATACTCAGACTGAGTGTTATAAAGAGATTGACTGAAGAGTCTCTCAATTCTCTGTGAGAGAAGAGAGAAGAGAGAGAAAAGAAGTCTGTACAACTACTCTCTATAACACTGAGAGTTATTATTATTATTATTCTTCAATTATAGATGTATGCAGTCAGAGACTATGACATCTACCTGAGAACTTTTAGTTCTCAGAGGTTTTCCTATATCTGTAAAGTTAACTATTATACATTCATCAATTTCAGATATGCAAAATCAGAAAATTCCAGCCTAGAATACAAAAACTGTTTACAAATTGCAGTGTTTTAACATCTTCTGATACTTTGAAATCATTTGACAATATCATGACAAAGGAAAAGAGAAAGAGAACACAGTCTTAAAGATAGACACATTAAATAGATAGATAGAAAGAAATTAAAAGGAAAAGATAAAGTAAAGAGAGACTGTAACAAAACAAATTATTAAAAGATAGTGTATAGCTGTTTTAACAGACTATATCTGATTGATTTTCCCCTCTTCATATTCAGATAATTCTGAATTTAGTCATTTTCTTATAGCTGCTTGAGTTTCTGATAGAAAGTCTATTAAGTATTTAATTCCTGTCTCAGTTGAGAATAAGAATCTCATATTTAATTGATTTAGATTATACTTCTCTTTCAATCTGGCTCTGAGATTATTGTATAATGCACAGTGCATTACAATATGCTCAGAATTCTCATTTGCATTGCAGAATGAGCATTCTATTGAGTTAAATCTATCATCAAATCTTTGTATATAAGATTTGAAATAGCCATGTTCTAGTTTCAGCTGTATTATAGATGAGAATATTTTCTTTTTACATTTAATTAAACAAGATTTCCACTTGGGTTTTGTTTCAAATCTTGAATAATGTATACTCTTCTTTTGTTTCTGCCAGCTTTCATTTCACTTGTCTAAACAAGATTCTTTTATTTTTCTCTTTATAAAAGACCAGGACATAATTTTTTGAATAGATCTGCTTAATTCTGCACTCTTTTTTGCAGCTGAATCAGCCAATTTATTATCATGAATATTTATATGAGCAGGAACTTAGTGCAGATAAATTATCAGCTTTGATATTCTTCTCTTTTGAATTTTCAAAACAGAGTTTAAGATCAGTTCAAGATTCATTTGATCATTATGAATCTGACTATTTCTAAGTCTTTTTAAAGCAGCTTGACTATCAGAGAATATTCATGTCTCTTTCAAACTATTTCCTCTTTTATGAGATTTTATTTCTATGAGTTTGAAAGCTTTCACTATTGCAAATAGTTCAGCATCAAAGACTTCAGATTCACAGTCTAGATTTCAGAAATCTGAGATAAAATTGATATTATCTTCAGTATAAGCAATGCCTGTGCCTAATCTATTCAGGTTCTCATTTTTTGAGTCATCTGAATAAATCAGAATAGAGTCTTTTATATTGATTGTAGAAATTCTCTTCAAATGCTGTTCATATTCTTTCTCTTTTGATAGTTCACTTATTTATAAGTCTATAAGAGATTCAAGCTTTTCTCTTCAGAGAGATAACTTCTCATGATTCACTTTTTCAATATTTAAAGAAGAAAATTGATTTTTAATCAGAGAGCATAGTCTGTAAAGTTGAGAAGACATTTTCTTTAAAGAATTATTTTCATTTCAATCAAGAAATCTATTTCAATCCAGTTCATTTCCAGAGGTAATTAATGAAAATGAAGAAGAGACTCTTTCTCTGATTATATGATTTGAGCTCATCTTTATAACTCTCAGTGTATAGTTTATACAGGTCTTTTCAAATCTAATAGCAGAAGAAGGAATTGAAGCTTCAATTTTCATTGCTTTAATAGAAGATGATTTGAATGCTTCTAGAATTCTTCTCAAGACTCTGTTTTGCAGACTTTGAAAGAGTTCAGTGAAATTCTCTTGATTATTTCATCAAACTTGAACTTCATAATCAGCTACTGATGTAATACAGGCTACATATAACTGTCTCATAGTCTGGAAGAATAGATCTGTCTCTGTATTTGATAGTCTGATTATGTTGTTCAATAGCCTTTCTGTCTTGACAGTTCTTTGTTGAATGTGATATTTAAAATTCAACTTGGAGTTTAATTATACTTCTAATTATTTGACATTTACACTGGGTTTAATCTCTCTATTTAAAAGAGTTAGAGATAGTTCTTTCTCATTGAATCTAGAAAATAAATGAATTAACTCAGTTTTATTCATATCAAATTGAATTTGATTAATATCTGCTCTAATAAAGATTTTCTTTGCAGCTTCTTCAATCATTTTCAATTTTTCTTTGATAGTTTTTGAGCTGTAGACTAGACTAATATCATTCATATAACTCAGAGACTATACTATTCTTATATTTCTATCTTTGAATAGATATGCAGTGTATATTGCAAATAAAATAGATGAGATTGAAGATTCTTGTGATACTTCTATTTTTATCTCAGTCTTGTCTTATTTCATTCCATCAAAGAAAAGTTATATGATTCTTTTAAATATAAAACAGTTAACTCATTTTATTAGAGAAAGTGGCATTTTTAACATCTTCAAAGTCTGAATTAACTTTGACTTTAAAACATGATTAAATGCTTTCTTTATGTCAATAAAAACTGCAGTTGAGACCAGATCTTCATGCTTTGCTATTTGAATATCATGAACAACTGAGAGAATAGTGTCAATTGCAGAACATTGTTTTCTATCTCTCATTTATTCACTGAATAAAAGAGAGTTATTAATAGAGCTTATAAAAGATGGTTAAGTAGCTATTATCTTTTCCAAAATCTTTTCTAGACAGTTTAATAGAGATATTACTCTATATGACTTAGAAATTGAAGTTTTTCTATTAGGTTTTGCAAGAATCACTCCAGTGGCTTCTCTCCAGCATTCAGAATGATATTCATTTTTCAAGAGATTGAAAAAGAGCTCAAAATATTCATTCTTTAAGTAGGAATATGTATTTTGAATAATCAAGTGATTAATTGAATCAGGCTCTGCAGCAGTTTTAACAGAACTTGAGAAGATAGCTGACTCTAATTCATCTTGTGTAAGATCAGGCCATTCTCAGTTATTTTTATCAATGTAGTTGAGAAGTGATATATTCTCTTCCTCTGAATCTGAATCTGAATCTGGTGAGTTCTGAAAGAGAATTCTCATAAAAGCTTGACATTTTTTCTCAAAAGAGTTTGCTGTATATGATTCATTCTGAAACTCATATTCTAAGACTGGAAGTTTTACTACACTTCTTGTTTTAGTATAGTTAAAAGCTTTAAAAACTTCCTTCTCTTATGCTTCTTCAAGAAATTTATTTCAGTAGTCTGTTTTAGCTCTTTTAATATCTGAAAAATATTCATTTCTGACAGCTTTAAACTCTTCATTAGATATTACATCATTCTTTCAATCTCTTCTAGCAGTAGCTAATGCTTTTCTTTTAGATGAGATATTCTCATTTCATCAAGATTTTGAATACTCAGAAGATTTTCTCTTTGAAATATTATCTCTAACACTTGTTAGAATAATAGATGTAATAAGCTTCACTCTATTCTCAAGCATTTCATTTGAGATATCTTGACCAGAATTTCAATATAGCTCATTCTGCCTTGCAGATTTTAACAGTTTTATGCTTTCTTCAACTGCTTTTCAATCAGCTTTTTCAAAGTTAAACTGATTAGAGAGAAGAGGATTTTCACTCATTTGTTTTTCACTCAGTTCAATATCAAATTGAATAATCTCATGATCTGATTCTAATATCTCATTTGAATCAATAAATCAGTTTACAAGTCTTCTTTTCATTAGATTTTGTGACATGAAGGTTAGATCTATAATAGATTTCTGTTTCATGCCTTTTCTAAAGAATGTTTGTTAATCAGACTTATTAATCAAATCTATTGAATGCTCAAACATTCATTCAATCAGATTATCAGCTCTCACTGCTCTCTTGCATTCTGAATTTCATCAGAGATGATGTGCATTGAAATCTCCTGCAATTATAGAGTTTCTTGATGAAGTTATATTCAGAAATTCTCTATCAATTGTTCAGATATTGTTATTTTCCTTCAATGACTGTTCATTATAGATATTTATGAGCTGTATAGTATCAAACTCATTTTCTTTATCTATAATATCACTCATCATGTGGTTCGGAAGAACGTACGACCGTCGGATAATAATGCGGCCGCTTCTGAACTTGCTTACAAGTGTAAAGGGGCCATAGCGGCCACTAATTAATTTAGTGTATGATATTATGATATATAAGAAGCCGGCGTACACCTGTAATTGTATGCTGGGAAAAAGACCTTTGAATGACATCTGGTAGCATGTCTAAAAATCAGTGAGAAGTGCAGGCTTCTTCAGAGTGTGATAATTTCATCTACAAAGTGATTCATAGTTATCATGTCAGTGTGATTCTAGAATGTCTCAAAAGATAGTGTACAAAGAGTGATGAGCAGAAGAGCATTCAATTAATACTGCTTCACTTGTTGAGGAAAAACTTCACACTCAGGTGAATGTCACATATACAAACAGATGAGGTGTGAGAAAAGAAATGAGAGCAGTGAACCAGATTCAAAGAAGACTGCTCTTCACTTAAAGAGATAAAAGAAGAGATGGCCATCATCAGAGTCATACAATGATAACAGAAATCATATAACAATATAGTGATATAACAATATAGTGATATAATAATATAATGATATAACAATAGATATTATACAATTAACAAGAAATCACTGAAATGAATATCTCTTCTAGTCAATATGAATAACACTCTTCTCTGCTATCTGAACTGAAAGATATGCAGAACCCCTCAGAGAATTTACTTGAAGCAGTAAGAAAAGCAGCTGAAATCACTGAACTGAAATTGAAGCTCTGTATGTGTATGAGGATTCTAAATGAGATTGAGGCCTTGTGTATGCAGTGGCAGACTGAGATGAAAGTCAAACAACAATTGATATTCACTGTGAATCAAGCATTTACTATGAAGAGCCTCGCTGATATAATCACCATCATCAATAAGAATAGAGAAAACCAGATCTTAGGTCTGCAGCAGGAGATTGAATGTTTATACAGACAGATAACTACACTGAGCCTGAAGATCTCACTACAATTATTCATGACCTCTTCAGAAGTATATACATCATCAGAGACTGCTGTGCAGGATGAGAATCTGAGCATGAAATACATTAAGCTGAGAGATCTGCTGAAGTTATCAAGCTTTGATAGTGACTGAAAAAATGATGCTGCAATCAGCTGGCTAAGTCAGATACAATTATATTATCAGATTAAATATGAACTCACAGACAGACAGTCAATGAAATTTCAACAAGTCTTAAGATCTGCTGTGTTTCTATGTGAAAAAGTGAAGTCATTATAAATGACTGATGAAAAGATGAATCTTACAGATCTGAAGCAATATTCATTCTCATGAATATGAAATAAGTTTTTCAAATGAATCTTGTACAACTTTGAGAAAGTGAATATATAAGACAAGTATTACAAATGCTTCACTGAGTGTAGACTAGTGAATGATCTTATATCATACTTCACACACTTCAGCTTACACTATCTCACATTGAATGAAGAGCTTTTAACATCTTTCTATTTACAGATCTTCATTCATGATCTTACACCTGAGTTGAGAGTGAAATGAAATTGCTTAATCTCACAGTCAGGCACAGTGAAGAAAACATATAATATTCTCATTGTATAGAAACAAGTGAGTCAATTGTAACAGAAAATACTGTAATTAAGTATATCTCAGTGAAGAATGAATAATCAGACTTCTATAATACAAGTCACACATCTGAATGTGATGAATCTAGATCTGAATATCATTGCTAAAGTGCTGAATTCTCTGAAGAAGGAATCCCCTGAGTGAAAATCTTAATATTGTGAGCATCAAGCTTGCTTCAACTGTGAATGTCAAAATCATGATGTAAAAGATTACACTCAGCATACACAGTCAAGAGAAACAAGAGAGTTAAAAAACTAGCAGAATCAGTGAGCTTAAAGACACTCACTGATATTCTATGAAAAATCTTCAAAGTGAAAGAGATGTCTGTATTAGATAACTCTCTGAATTCTGTGAATGTCAAGAGAAAGCAGGCTTCTGACTGAGGTGTAGATGAGAATGAAGTGAATGCTCATTTCAATGTCTTGAGACCTGAAATATTAATGTATAAGAGACACTTGAGTAAGAATTGAGAGATGACTATAAAAGTGTTAGCAGACACAGAAGCTTCTATATAATATATTAATGATTATATAATCTGAAGACTGAAAGAGATCTGCTGAGTGAAGAATCTCTGATGTATAAGATTATCTGATAACTGATATTTGATATCATCTGTAAGAGTAAGAGTTCTCTTGCACTTTGAAGAATGATCTTGCTATATTTGAGTGTGAGAGCTGCAGAATGTGAAATATAATCTTATTCTCAGACTCAATTGATTTCAAAGATTCAATTCACAGATTCAATGATGTACATGTCATATATGATTGACTGATAGGAAGAAAACAGTTCATACAATTCTATCAACTGATATGAGAAGAACATTTCATGTCTCTGATATAGAAGGATTAAATCTGCTTATATATTAACAAGTAAAGAGGATGATTTGCAAGACCTTATCTGAAAGTATCTTGTATATCATACAGGACTCAGAAGTGAAGAAAACCAAGATAAAAGATATGCAGAAGAATAAGCATATAAAGAAGCTTCTGAAGAAGTATGAAAACATCTTCTGAACAGATCTTTCACTGGAATTGTCACTGAAACAAGGATTTGTACATGAGATTGACACAGAGGATGCAAAACCAGTCAATCAGAATGTGTATCCTCTGTCACAAACACACATCAAAGAACAGAAGTGTCAGATCACAGACCTTCTAGAATGTGATCTCATACAACTCTCATCAAGCATGTGAGACTTTCCAGTTCTATTCATGAAAAAGGCAGATGAAGAGTGATGAATGTGTATTGATTATCAAGCACTTAACAAGCTTATGATCAAGAATGAATATTCATTATCACAGATTCAACAACAGTTGAATACAGTTGAAAATGTCTGATATCTATCAAAAATTGATCTTCTCTCAGAATACTGACAGATCTGTGTAGATGAACTATCAGTCCTGTAAACTGTGTTTAATATATAATGAGAGAAGTTTGAATTCCTGACAATGTCATTCAGTCTGATAAATGTGCCTGTCATCTTTCAAATGATGATGAATACAATTCTTCATAAACAGAATGAAATCTCATGCCTTGTATATCTCAATGACATTCTAGTCTTTTCAAACTTATATGATGAATATCTGAAGCATCTCAATGAAGTGCTTATAACTCTGACAGAGTATAAGCTCTACATTAAATCAATTAAGTATGTGTTTGAAACAGAAGAGTTGAAGTTTGTAGAACATGTAGTGAGTGATAGCTGTATATATCTCATTTCAGAGAAATTGAATGTTATAGTAAATTGACTGTAGCTGAGAAATGTACATCATATACAATAGTTTCTTGAGTTGGTCTCATATTACTGTAGATTTATCAAGGATTTTGCATGAATATCTGCATCACTCTCAGATCTCTTAAGAGAAATGAATGCAAATCTGTGAAAGAAGAAGTTTTGTTCAATCATCTGAAATGCTGTGTGCAAAGAGGCTTTTCTCACCCTGAGAAAATGTATAATAATATTCTCAGTGCTTATTCAATCAGATTGTGATAAACCTTTCTACATTGAGACAGACATATTTAAATGAGCTATCAGAGACACTCTTCTACAGATGAGCAAGAACAGCAAGCTGCATCTGGTGATGTATGATGATAGAAAACTATCAGACGCCGAGCTCAATTACCCAGTGTATGAAAAGGAATTGCTAGTAATCAAGCATGTGCTGATGTTGTAGAATAGATATATCAACAACAGGCATATAACAACAGTGATCACAGATTATGAAAGCCTTGTCTATCTATAATCAATGATAAAACCTTTCAAATGCTTAGCATGTTGAATCTCAGAGTTTCAAGTGTATAATCTTCATATCAAATACTGAAAGAGATTAAACACTGTGATGCCTGATGTAATCAGTTGCAGACTCAATTTCATGGATGAGAATTCTGTGAACTAGATACAAGAAATGTTCACATTAAACATGCTGAGAGAATGCAAGGAATCAGAATGAGTGAATGTTATGATCTCTTGCTTGAAGAATGGCAAGGTGTCAGATGATAAGTATCTTATAAGAGTAGTAGAAGAGATGCTTCTGAACTTCAAGCTGAGGAAATTGAAAAATGATGTTATGCTTTATCATGATCTAGAATATACAGAAGCTCTCTATCTAGAACCTTCATTTAGATGCAACTTAGTGACTCACATATACAAGGAATTCAGTCACTTAGAAAGCCCTGGACTCATGAGTGTACTCAAATCAAGAGTATACTGGTTGAGCATGACTGAGAACATTCAGATATACACTCATGAGTGTCTGAATTGTCAGATTGCAAAAGAATCTAAGAAAGAGTTAGAATATAAGAAAGTACAATATCAGATAAAGTGTATGATACAATCATTCAAACAATAAAAGATGAATCTCATAGACATATTACTGCAAATGTCAAATGAAAATTGATGAATAATCACTACTATTGATTACACTACTGACTGACCAGTCATGAAAGCAGTTTCAGAGGTGACAGAGAAGATGATGATGAAGTTTCTACATAATGAGATCTATGTCAACTATGGAATGCTGTGTGAGATTCTAACTGATAACAGTGTGAACCTTGTAGAAGAAGCAGTGAGGCATTTCATAGGCCAATTACAGACAAGACATTGTAGAACAACATTATATCATCTGCAGATGAATGAGAAGATGAAATGCTTGAATGAAATCTTGAACAATATGCTGATGAAATATCTAGTGAGCAAGTCTATGAGATTATAAGATGAATATCTTGATCAGATGCTATTAGTCATGTGAATTCAGCAGTATACAGTCTTCAAGTGTTCATTAGTCTACCTGTTGTATGAATTGCATCTGTGCATTTCAGAGAATGCTTCAGAAAAGATGAGAGAGAAAATAGCAGTTGTGAATGCAACAGTCACAGATGTGGAACCAAGATTGAAAGAGATCAGCTATATACATGCAAAAGCTAATAAGTTACTTCTGAACTGAGCAATTCAATTGAAAAGAATATGAGACTCACTAGTTAAGAAATTGAGTCTCAAGATAAGAATGTGAGTTCTCATATACAATGAGAGTTCTGAGAAGTTTCAATCTAGATAATTTAAGTCATATAAAATACTCAAATCACATTCTCTCAGAATATACATATTGAAAGAATCAGAGGAATGAGTCTTATACAACTTAATAAATGATTCATGACTTGTGAAAGCAAAGATACAAGACCTGAGTGAATTATAATCATCTGCAATACTATCATCAGTGTTGAAAAAGAAGAGACTTATAATTGAAAAGTCTCACAAGATAAGAGAAATCATAGATACTTATGAATCAGATGATCTTACTTATTCTGATCTTTTCATAATTATAAGAAAAGAATGAGAAGCAATGAAGAAATCAGACAAATGTCATACTTTAATAAGTGATGAGACTGTAGCTGATTGTATGATAATATACTGCAGATAGTGAGTATAACACAGTAAAGAGCAGTTTCAAAGTGACAGACTTATACATGAGTCAGATTGCAGAAGAAAAAGAAATTCAGAGTTGAATTTAACTGTTTACACTAGTTCAATTGTGAAGATCACAGAGAATGAACTATCTGAAACATCTATAAATGTGTGAGATCAAGTCATCTCAATCTCTGAAGACACTCAGAGATCAGATGAGATTAGTTTTGATAAGCTGTTCACTGTAGTAATCTAAGTGAGTGAAGAGAGACAGTATAATGCATAAGACAGAATCACAAAAGATAAAAGCTGCTGAATCTAGTTACTGAATACTGTATTATATAGAGATCATGTAAGAGTAGTGACTAGCAGATAAAGAAAAAGTGTAAGAAAAGAAAAGAGATAATGAATTAGTCATCAACTGTAAGAGTCAGCTGTAAAAGACAAATGTTATCATATACATCTCATTCATTTTCATACATCACATGTTTAATCTCTTTTCCACATCATATCATCTGAAAAACATCAAAAGTAAAGGAAATCTCAAAACTTGAGATTCACAAGGGATTCAAGAGCTGCAAGCTGCTCTTATAAT